TAAACTGTAGTGCAGGGGTCACCAACAGGGTGCCCGTGGGCACCAGGTAGCCCGCCAGGTTCACATGAGTTACCCGCGGGCCTGTTCTAAAAATAGCTCACCATAGCACCACATATGAGTAAGCTGCTTTTAATATTTTTTTCAGGTGTTCTTTTTAAATCACACTTGCATTGGTGTAAATTTGAAAATTACTTTAAGTTTTATATTAAAACTTTAAAAACAATTTCAGACAAATGAAGTGTTGTAATTTGATATTTATCTAACTTGTTAAATCATTTTTGACAACTACTGTGAGAAATTATTAACATGATCAATGTCTTCACATAGATGAATATTATTAATTTTTAATAATAACAAATAATTAAAAATAAATTTAGAAAAATGTGTTATTTAATAACTGGTAGGCCTTTACAGTAATCGGTACCCAAGAAGTAGCTCTCAGTTTCCAGAAGGTTGGTGATCTCTGCTGTAGTGTGTGTGGTGTGTGTGGGGTTGTGCTTTGCTCTGTTCTCCTGGAAGAGTGTGTGCAGAACTCTGATCTTTGTCTCCATCTAGTGGATCTTGAATATAAATGTAACTTCAGTTTTCAGGGCCACAAACGAGAGTAAAATACTGCTGATTGCTCAACTAAAAACAAATGATCTCTGTAAGCATATAATCTGTAGTTACATTAGAACAATAGATTTGAATATATTTGAATATTTGATTTTTTTTCCATTTCAAACATTACAATAATATCATATTTAAATGAATTCAGAATATACAGTTATGCATGTCATGCTGAATAAAGTACGCTTCCCCATTTGACATTTTCATTCATTCATTCATCATTTTCTTGTCGGCTTAGTCCCTTTATTAATCCGGGGTCGCCACAGCGGAATGAACCGCCAACTTATCCAGCAAGTTTTAACGCAGCCGATGCCCTTCCAGCTGCAACCCATCTCTGGGAAACATCCACACACACACACACACACACACACACACTCATACACTACGGACAATTTAGCCTACCCAATTCACCTGTACCGCATGTCTTTGGACTGTGGGGGGAAACCGGAGCACCCGGAGGAAACCCACGCGAATGCAGGGAGAACATGCAAACTCCACACAGAAACGCCAACTGAGCCGAGGTTCAAACCAGCGACCTTCTTGCTGTGAGGCGACAGCACTACCTACTGCGCCACTGCCTCGCCCCATTTGAGATTTTATTAAAGCAGATATTTTATGCTTTGATATGTGCTTTAAGTCGCTTATAAACTGTGCGAGGGGTCAACTTTTTCAGTAATGTTTTATTATTTAAATATATTTAAGTTTTCAGTGTCCTCCCACCCATTTTTTTTCTTTCACCCATTATTTTTTTTCACCCACCCATTTTTTTTTCTCCTCCACTACGTCCCTTCCGGGGTTCCGTATGTTTAGTGCACTGTAAAAAATAAATCCGAAAAATTTACAGTGAAAAAACAAAAAACAAAAGCTGTGGTTGCCAATGTTTTATCTGTAAAAATATGGTACAAAACGTAAAAGTAATTTCTAATTTTTACAGTAAACTATCGTATTTCATTACTTTGTAGATGTAATATGTCTGTAATTTGAGTTACCAACATGTACACATCTTTTGTTTATCTCATAGATAAACACGTTAACACAGCCATATTCAAGAGGTGATGAGTAAGTTACACAATGAAGCAATGCTCATCACAACACCTTTTCCCACAAGCAGTAATGTGTACTACGTATAAAAGGTGCTCAGTGTGATTTACACAGCTACTAAACACCAGTAGGGTAACACGCATAAAATTAAAGTCATAGATAAACATTGTTTATCAGCGTTAGATGTAACATAAATCTCTAATGTATGTTACTGATGGGGAAACAACCAAAAAGGTCCATATTGTCAACAAAAATAATTCAAAGTGATGTGCCATGCAGGGAATTCTGGGAAAGTCAGTTTACGGTTAATTATTGTATAAATTAAGGAAACAGACCGTTAACCGTGTTACATTTTACTGTAGCATTTTACAGTTTTTTTACCGTTGAAATTGCCTTTTGATCTCACGAGGAAATGTGAGTATTTTATGTTTTGTCAGTTTAGTGGCTAATTCGTACGAATTTAAAAAGGAGGCGTGGCACATAACCCCAACCGTCATTGGGTGATGAGCAAATCGTGCTAAAGTGTACGAATTAGATTGTACGAATTCATACGAATTAGCCACTTAAGCAAATAGTTGCGAATTTTCGAGAGATTTTGTTAGTTAACCAGGTTATGGATTTTAACTCTAGCATTTTTACATTTTTTTTACTATTGAAATCACGGCCCTTCTTTACAGTGTGTATTCTGACCTGAGTAGCCGTTTTCAGCTTACTTTAGGTCAAACTATGCATCTAATTTGACTTTACTTTTAGGCTACATGTAAAAACAAACACCTATGAGAAATCAGTGAACTTACAGTGCTCTAAATTGGCCAGTTTTCTACTGTTGAATGACTTTCTCGCATAGACTGATTGGCATGATTATGCATTTACAATGGTACACTCTCAGGAATAAAGTTACGAGAGCTGTCACTGGGATGTACCTTTTCAAAAGATACATATTTGTACCTAAAAGGTCCATATTGATACCTTAAGGGTACAAAAGTGTACCTCCTTAATTTTTTTAGGTACTAATATATACTTTTGAGCTACTAATATGAACCCTTCAAGTACAAATGTGTACAGTTTAAATGGGTAGCACCCCAGTGACAGCTCTCGTACCTTTATTTCTGGGAGTGTATGAACTGTTAGGGTGGATATCTATTATTTTAATTATTAACATTATTATTTAAATACAGATCAGCATGAACTTTTTCTAAGATTCAAAGGCACCAGCCGTGCTACTAGTTTTGACGTCTTTTAGGGGGATCCCAGCTAACAGGGAACGTTCCCAGAACATTCACTAACGTTCTTTAAATGTTGTGAAAATGTTAGCACAAAAAGCGTTTTTAAAACGTTCTCTTAATATTTTTAACGTTCTTGTAACGTTGTATAAAAACGTTGTTAGAACAAAGTTATTGGAACGTCTTTAGGACGTTATTTGTACTTGAACGTTGTAAAAACGTTAAGCTAACCATTAAAAACGTTCCTGTAAGCAAACTGGACATTTCAACGTTCTTGGAACGTTCCAAATAAACGTTCTCAAAACATTATATTTTGGTGGTAATTTGGTTTTTAAAAACGTTGTGAGAACGTTAAGCTAACCGTTAAAAAACGTTTTAGCAACATTAAGCAAACTGGACATTTCAACATTTTTGGAACGTTACAGATAACGTTAGAAGAACGTTCTCACAACATAAATTTGTTAGCTGGGATCAAGCCTTAATGAGGGGGGTCAAACCCGCCTGTAATCCGCACCTTGCTTATGCTATTCATTTTTGCATTAAATCTCAGTCCTGCAGTGAAGCCTAAAGTAAAAGTTAAGATTGCTTTTCATAAAGGTACTGAAACGCTTAATTTAACTCACTTAAAAATATTTATTTAAATATTAAAGAATATCGAAAATTCCTTTTTGAGTCACAGATGCCTTTAAATAAACATTTCCACACATAAATATCAGCCCTCAATCTCTACAGGATTACAGTGTGTGTCGGCTGCAATTTGGGAGAAAATAATCAGCTTTTCCAAACTACACAAGATAACCAAAAACTCCATTTCCTTCACATTCTCGAAACCACAACAATGAAAACTCTTGAGCACGCATATACAGCTCTCAAAAATCCACATCCAGTCCAAACGACTATGAATTTCAAACCCCTCAGTATATTCGACACATCAGTTCCTCCTTTTTCTGGAGATCAAAATCTGCTGTTTGAGCTGCAAACACGCCTGTTTCAACAGGAGCGCCGATATAAACACTCCAGTGAAGGAGACGGGACTAAATGAACTGTGAATTTCGAGGGAAATGTTTGTAAACGTGCTCATACGCAGAGCTGACGAGTAACATTACATGTAATTATTCACTCATTATCTTTTCTGCTTAGTCGCTTTATTAATTAGAGGTCGCCACAGCGGAATGAATCGTTAACTTATGTTTTACGTAGCGGATGTCCTTCTGGCTGCAACCCAACACTGGAAAACACCCATACACACTCCCATTCACACACATGCTCTTTGGCCAATTTAGCTTATTCAATTCCCTACCTGCGCCACCGCATCGTCATCATTTACATTTAATAATAAAGAAAATTAACCCAACATTGGATTTGTCCATATTTGACCCAACATTGAGTTCCAACAATCACTCATTTCATTCATTCATTTTCTTTTCGGTTTAGTCCCTTTATTAATCTGGGGTTGCCACAGCGGAATGGGTGTTTTCCAGTGATGAGTTGCAGCTGGAAGGGGATCCGCTGCGTAAAACATATACTGGATGAGTTGGCGGTTCATTCCTCTGTGGCGACCCCTGATTAATAAAGGAACTAAGCCGAAAATAAAATGAATGAATGAAAAACAAGAGAAAACAATAAAAGTATTATGTAATTTAATAAATATTACAATAAAATATGTTCGACCTTTTATTTACCTTGCTTTTAATTATTAGATAGTAGGCTATATATTATCTATATCTTATATCGACAATATTATAAATATATATTTGGGTTATATATTTATATTATAGATACAATTATGATAGATAGATAGATAGATAGATAGATAGATAGATAGATAGATAGATAGATAGATAGATAGATAGATAGATAGATAGATAGATAGATAGATAGATACTGAATGGCTTGTGTGAATCCACAGGTGTGTGTTTGATAATGAACGAGCGCATCACGTATATTTGTACTAGTGTAGTGTGTGTGTGTTGTACTGTATGAGTCTGTGTTATTGTTTACGCGCGGACGCAGGAGGGCGGGAGCGGCAGAAAAAAGGGAGGAGTCGTTGGGATTCGTGACGTCAGCCTGGAATGAGGGAGTGAATGTTCCGGGTCAGAAACTGGACTAGGAGGAAATAAACTCCGGGATGCGAAAAACACGAAACTAGCGCGACCGAAACAGACATGTAAGCGCTTAAGAGGAAAACACTTCTCAGCCTGGCGATGAGGATGCTGCGGGATAGGTGAACGTTATAAAAAGAAGCGCAAAGAAAAAAACTCCCGGGATCAAAGCAGAAGTGGAGCGCGACGGTTTTATTTCATGTTTCTGCGCGCGGTCGGTTTGCGGTGGACATCTCGAGATTGTACCCGACACTAGTTGCTTTTTGGGGGATTGCTTTCGGTTTTGTTGTAGTTTTGATTGCTGTGGTAACTTTTCCAGCGGTCCGGATTTATCGCCGTCCCGTGATGTTTCACTGTATCCCCCTGTGGCGGTGCAACCGTCACATCGAGGCGATCGATAAGCGCCACTGCTCGCTGCTTTTCGTCCCGGATGAGATTTACCGATACAGAGGCAGTCTGGAAGAGCTTTTACTGGACGCCAACCAACTCCGGGACCTGCCCAAGGTAAGAGACGCCAGCTCATACCAGGACCATTGTTGCTAGAAAAAGTCTCTTCTCAAACGGATGAATGAGAGGCATTTATGGGCCATGTCTCAAACCTCATACGCGGTCTGCTTATGTGCTGCTCACTGGGGTAAAGTTGGTTATATATTCGCTCATTCGTTCAGTGACAACTTGTGCCATGCTCCCTATATTGTTGACATTGGTGCTTTGAGTATTCGGTCTGAAATGGCAGGCAAGTATGACTAGCTCTATTTAACTGACTGTCAACAGATAGTCATTGGCTGCTAATGTGATTTCCTTGTTTAAAATTGGCAAATTATACTTTTCTAAACTTCCTAAACTTTCTAAAACCAACTTTACCATGTTGAGGTGAAGCTGGTTTTATATTCATGCATTTGTTAAATGACAGCTTGTGACATTCTCCCTATAAATGTTTACCATGGTACTTCGAATATTTGTATTTCCCTAATAAAAATGTGTAGAGAATATTGAAAAGATATTATTGACAGTCATAATGTGTGAATATAAAACCAACTTTACCTCACAGATTGAGCTAAAGGTGATTTTATATTCGCACATTCATTCACAACTTGTGACATGCTCTCTATATTGTTTACCATACTTTGAATATTCTGTCTGAAACATGTAAATATGACTTCAAAACAACATTGTTAGCACTATTTAATTGAACTATTGAATTAAACTATTTATTTAGTCAACTATTTATATCAACCATTTATTTATTATTTATTCAAAGATTGTGAACAATGTTGTACTCTCATAGTCATTAGCTCTTAATGTGCTTTTAGAATTGTCAAAAATATGTTTTTTTCTGAAATTATATTATTAATGAGAGTCTATATATATATATATATATATATATATATATATATATATATATATATATATATATATATATATATATATATATATATATATATATATATATATATATATATATATATATATATATATATATATATATATATATATATATATATATATATATATATATATATATAAATAAATATATATATATATATATATATATATATATATATATA